GTCTGTCCACTTACATCACAAAAATAATCCCTAAACCTAAAGACGTCTGCGGTGAAATGCATGTAGCGTCCCCCCTGGGCTGGGTCACAGAATATGCAGAACAATTGCAGATTTTTGTGTAAATGTAGCATAATGCTACACAGGAGTAAAACTGGAGTTTTTTAACAGGAGTTTCTTCCTGTTCAAAGGGAGTTTTTCCTCTCCACTGTCGCTACAAGCATGCTTAGTGTGAGGGATTGCTGAAGAGTCAATGAGTCGATGCAATCAGCTGGTTTTCCTTAGAAAACTTTGAATCCGTCTGACTGGATGATCTTTCCTTTTTTAGCAGAAATCCGGATGTTTTAAACACGTGTTCTGGTGCAATGCTGCCCTCTAGTGGCTACCTAAGTTTAGTTTTTATCTACTTTCATATTTTTTTTCAGTGTTTTCTTGTCATTTCACTGCCACAAGTACAGGGCAATGAAATTCCCTCTCTGCATTTAACCCCTACCCCTTGGGGAGCAGTGGGCTGCCATTGTGCGGCGCCCGGGGAGCAGTGTGGGGTTAAGGGTCTTGCTCAGGGACCCAGAGTGGGAGTCTGTGGAGGTGGGGCTCAGATTCCTCGCTCCACTAGGCTGCCCCTCCCTTATATCTCTGTCTTTATTTGTTTCTAAGCGTTTGATGCCAGGAATGAGGAGGACTCTTTAGAAATCATGTTTCTGATGAAGATAAGTCCTTGTTGAAAGTATCTGACAGCACTGGGAATGTTTGTTTTTGTTCTACTTCTAGGAGTAACTAAATTATTTTTAACATTCTTTCAGCGAGATAACATTTCTGGATCTGTTTTTTTTTTATTTTGGGAAAACTTCCTGTTTCCCTTTAGAGACAGTCTGGATAGATCATGATATAGATCAACAGCCGTCTCCTTTAAGCTGTTATCCTGCTAACTGATACATGAAGAAATATATTAAAACAAAAATATAGTAATATTCATAGAAAAACTTTATAATTCTCAATGTTGAACCCAAACTTTCTGAGGAAGCAGGAAATAGTTGTTGCTCTTCATGGTAAGAAAGTAGAAGACTGGAAATCATTATATTTATATTCACAAATGTCATTTTTTAATCATTTTTAGCCTTTATTCGATGCTTGATCATTGAAATTGAAGCATATTTATAGAGATGATAAAGTTGTTAGCAGATATGAGCTCAGTAGATGATTGAACATGTAAAGCCATCACATCTGAAACATCTGCTGTTTTTATTTTCTCTTTATAAATGGACACTTGTTCTACCTAAAGGACCTTTTCTTTTTTTTTCTGTAAAGATAAATGAAAATATATGCTTTCAATGATGCCAAACTGTCTTATATTATTTTGTTTGTAAGCTGGAGCCTAAAGCTGTTTAACTAATGTCCAAATAACATATCAGCAGATATTCTGAAAGGATGCGGTTTCTGCTCTGTGATTGGTTGATCTGCTTCAGCAGGTGTTCCTAGCAAAGATGGCTGTGATTTTGTTTTCCTCTCCTCCCACCATGAGTCATGCTCTCAGACATGATGACACGTCTCTGCGTCTGCAGTGTTTACTCACTCCTGTTGCCCATGTGACCCCAGCCGCTGATGTAACAGTAGGAGTCCGGCGAGGGCAGCTGACCCGGCTGAGGCAGACACACCGGCCTGACGTGGGCCGTCTCCTCCACCTGTAACGACCACAGCCGTCAGCGCTGCCCGCCCTCTGCTGAGAATGGCGGCTGGCTGTGTGACGCTCTGACCTCAGAGTCCAGCTGCACCACGCTGATGTCGTAGTCCACCACCGCCCTGTTGTAGCGCGGGTGAACGATGATGGAGCGGACGCTGCGGCTCTGACTGTGAGATCCCGGATGGTCCAGGTTAGTCAGGCCCAGCACCACCTTCCACAGCTCAGCGTTCTCCCTCCTGGAAACCAGTTCAGAGTGAGTCTGGTCACAGTCCAGGTCTGCAGCTACAGAAAGAGCTCTACGTTTCTTATATCTCATCCAAAATACTCAGGTTATCCTGATCTATCTCTATAGTTCTGCTGCTATAAGCTTAGACTGCTAGAGGACATAGGGACCCCTTTTCATCATTCAGCTGTTTTTTCTTAGATATAAAACTTTGAGCCACTCTGACTGTATGATCTGGTTGAACTGTCTCTATAAAGTGAGCTGAGATCACATGATGTGAGTTGGAGCTATAGAAATAAATTAAACAGAAATCTCACCCCTCGAAGCAGTGGGCCACAGTCAGAGCCCACCGACGGCCGATTAGCACGCAGCCGCAGACGTGTCCGCTCTGACCGCTCTGCAGCGAGCACTGCCAGGGCCACGCCCCCCGCCGGGACACCCGGCCCCCCAGGATCCGTTTCCTCCTGTGAGGATGGAGACCCAGTGCTGGACGCAAACCGCACTCTGAGGAAGACAGAAGTTTAAACGTCAGAACAAAAAGGAACCAAAGAGATACGAGTTAGAGAAGTGGGGCGAAGATGTTCACCTTCTCTGGAGCACTGGACCGAAACTCTTTGTCTGGAATGACAGGCGTGACTGGAGGACAGAGACAGAAGGAGATCATTAGAGAGAAAAAAATCTGAGCTCTGACAGATTTTTACTTGTTTGTTGTTGTTGTTGTTTACTTGATTGTTGATACAATCTGTTATGTAGAAGCAGGAAAATCAGAGACCCTGTTTCTATAGAACTGTAACCCCGACAGTGGAGTTCTAGTTAAAAAAGAAACAAATCTGCTTCCATTAAGGTTTGTTCTTCTTGTTCTTACAGCAAAAAAAAAAAAAAACACCATTTTCTACATAGAAACAGATTCATATACATCGATCCCGGACTAACCCCCAATATTTTTGATCTCTTATATAAATGGGTAATATTCTGGAAAACAGTTTCTTAGAGAATTGTTTTGTTTTCATGGATGAAATAAATCAATTAACCAAACAACAAAACAGTCTAGGATTGGATTGATGATACGGTCTCAGGATGGTTTCAAAGGTAAGAAGTCAAAGCTTTTTTTCAAAAATTCTAATTGACCATGCTGCTATATTTTCATT